AATAGAATTGTACTTAGCTATAAGACAAATAAAATCATAACATTTACCAGAAAATGGATGGAATTGGAGAATATTATACTGAGTGAAGAAACTCGGGCCCAGAAAGCCAAATACAACATGTTGTGGATCTAAACATGTTTTTATTTTAATCCCAGGTGTGGGATGTGGGACTGACTCAGAGAGTCCACAGCAGAAAACTATTTGCCTTGTTTGGGCTCTGAGAGGAGCTATTTGCCAGCTGCAGATAGTTTAAATCTGAGGACTCTGGAGAGAGAATAAATACCAGAGCCCAGAGAATGTGGAGAAGCTCTGAGCAAGAACAAGATTGCTGCTGCTTCCTCCCCTGTGGTTCCTGGTTGCTGTTAGACAAGAAGTTGGAGAGCTCCTGAAATGAGGACTGGACTGGCTCCAAGGAACCCGATGACCCTAACCAGCAGAAAGCAGCTAAGAGAACTGTGTCCCCTTTCCTACTAACCCTTTCTCTCTCCTACCTGGTGTTGGGTGTTGGAATGGATTCAGGTGGAGTTGGGAGAAAGAGATGTAAAAAAAAAAAGTGTAAACAAAAGCATTTAAAAAGTATGGTCAGCAACAACATGTTCTCTTTCATATACGGATCATGGGTCCAAACCCTTAGATCATTGTGTTTAACTTGGAGTTTCTGTAGCCAGGAAGCTAGGAAAGAACAGCTAAAGGAAGAAGGGGAAAAAAAGAGGGCTTAATGAAGGAATGTAGAAGAATATGTGCAATATGGAAGAAAGGGAAAATATAAAGCATGTAAAGGTTTAAGTGGAGATTGGGGTGGAAGAGAATAGAGGCGTGCAAGGGGTAGGGTAAGCTAAGGATGCTTTGGAATGCCATATGCGCCTATTATTTGGTGAACTTACTTTAAAATATATATATTTTTAAGTTTGAATGGAGGTACCCTAAATGAGTGGATGATTCTCTGCTTGACGCCATAAAAAAATCCCAGTGCTGGATAGGAGATTCCTCACTGGAGTTGTTGGTCATGGAGGTGCCAGAGGCTGCAGAGTTTCCTCTCAACAAGGTGAGCGCCATTGTTCTTGGTTGCAAACTACAAGTAGATGGTAAGACCCTACTGTTCAAGCTATCACACACTTGGTTTTAGGGAATAGAGAGGTCTGGCTATGTTCTGCAGGCAAGCTTCCATGATGCCAGAGCTATGTCAGCTGCTGGGGAAGAAAAGTCATCAATAGTCTTACCCAGCTGTAATCCCTGCAAATGCACTATCTACCTTGTGTGCATATGCACCTTCCGGTGCAATACTAGTGTCACTATTATGGGGTTAACCAACCACTGTATGACTGAATTTGAGGTTCACCCAATGGGAGGGAAGTCATGCCGACTATGGTCAACCTGGTCAAAACCCTGTGACTAGAGACCTTAGAGAGGACTCTAAGGTCCATGAACTAATAACATTAGTCTTAAATTATAGTGTGTTGAATTGTTCATTTGCTAAATGGTAATGTGTTTATGTTGGCATCCATAGATTAACACCGGTTTTGGCCTTGGTCAGAAAAGCTTCTCTTTTCTCTTTTTCTTTTCTTTTTTTTTTTTTAAATGGGCATTGAGTAATGCAAGCACTAATAAGTTGTCACTGTGCAGAGAATAAGTCACTATTGAGTGCTCAGCTCAAAATGGTACTACTATACCACTCCTTTCAAGCCTCAGTGAACAATGCAGAAGAAGGAACAAAAAAAAAAAAGTGTAAAAGCTGGAGGACAGAGAAGAGTGCCGCAATTGATGACTTCTAGACATGGCATGGCACTGCACTCAAGAACTCACCAGAACTGTGGTCACCTGCACAAGCCTGGGCCTATCAACATTTACTCATGTTAGAGGAAGGGCCCTGATGTGCCCCGGGGAACTGTTGGTGGTTACTGGTTACTGAAAGAAGAAGATGTCATTTCTTCAGTGGTGTAACGACTGATAAGTTGCCCACCTGCCAATAAATAACCCACACTCATGCTCGTGAAAGCAAGCCTAATTAAACTCAGCAGGTCATAAAAAAAAATCAAGTTTAAAGAAAAAGAGCACAAAAGTAGGATGGAACTTGTTGAGAAAGATAATTTGAGAGGGAGAGGAAGAAGGATGAATGATGGTAATTGGAGGGTGAAAATAGAATAATGAAAGAAAGATGAAAATGAAACAAAGTCCTGGTGGGAAAGGAACATGTTGACAGGGTAGGATTATACATCCATCACTAAAGAATTCTTCATTTATTGATGTTATTTTAAATGAATTAATCTTTAGAAATAAAATTCCCTTTTCAGAGTAGTAAGAAAATACCCACATGATCTCAATTACAGGAGAATAGAAAACTGCATACATGGCTACTATTTTCACACAGAACCTTATCATAATACCAACTACTTCAAAAAAAATTCACTAATCTATAAATGGGAACCTTTCTTCCTGACAGCATTTGGTGGGAAGAAATGGAAACAGGAAATGCAGTACAGTCAAACACCTAGAAAAAAAGAAGAAAAGGCATAAAGGAAATTGTTTTATTAGCATGGGCATGATATTAAATTGAACTGTATAAAATTAGCGATGCTCAAGCTTTTAAACCCTTTGAAAACAGCAATTTCCTGTGCTTCAACCTGATACACGAAGCCTCTCGGGAGACAGTCCTCTAATGACCCCTTTTTTCTTTGGCGCTGCTGACACTAAGAACGCTGGAAGGACCAACCCTTACCAGGTCAGTTGTCTGCAGCAAGCAAGCAACCCAGCCATTAGCGTGATTTGAGGAAGCTCCTTTGTGGAAGGAGCTCAGGCTTGCCGGCTGCTGGGACCCAAGCTTAGTGTGTGTCTCTCATGGCAAACCTCTCTGCACGTGGCAGCGGACTTCACTGCACCATTCCTTTCTGGCATGGGAGTGCAGACCATGTGCTGCTGTTTGTGTTCATTCACGGGCTGTGAGAAAAAACGACCTCGACTTTGACCCAGGAGTTTCATGGTCTCAAATACCCATGAAAATAATAAAATAATTTCTTAACTTTAAAGTAGGGTAAAAATCAAATCCCAGCCTCAAAAAAAAGAAAGAAAAAAAAAAAAGAAAAAGAAAAAAAAACACATAGTACAGGATATTCTCAAGGTTATAGATTGTAGGTATTACATTTTTTTAAATAGATCTCTCAAATAATGACCATTTTATACCAAGAGTCTGAAAAGAACTTTCTTCCTTAAGAAAACCCATTTGTCATCTTTCCAAACTTATCCTTAGAATCCTTAAAGTGAAAGCCTCAGGGAGAAGCAAAAAAAAAAAAAAAAAAAACAAAAAAAAAACAGGTCATGGCTCCCAGGCTTCCCTCTCAAATGTCATATCAATTTTCTAGGCAAGGGATCCCATAGTATGCAGGCATCCAAATCATTTTATTTTTAAAAGCCCTGGAACTAACACACTCGCTACATGAACAGCCATGACCCGAGCTTATAAACATGGCTGCCAGCTTGCCTCTTGAATGTGGCGTGGAGTGGGTCACATCAGCTTTCTTCTTTTCCAGGCTGACCACTGATAGAAACTAACTGGTTCCCCCCCCCCCAACAATGCTCTAATTGTGGAGTTGGCATTTTTATGTAAATCTCTGTTCCTTGATTCATTAAACTCCATTGCTCCTGACATTTCCTTTCTGACCCTTATCAGCCACACACTAGGAAAACATGGCAAAATAAAGAGGACAAAGAAGGGCAATAAAAGGGTTACAACCAGGAAGGGTATGGTGACTATGGCCAACAAGGAAATTCAGGAACGGGTGACTAAACGCCAGGGACACACTGCCGGCCAGTCACAGCTGTATTTGTTCAAAGCCTGTCAAGTGCTTAACACCATTTCAAGGTGTCACATGGAGAGACATAGGAAATGACAGTCTTGGAGGCTGCTTGAAGAGCTCTTGAAATTTAACGGACAGAGATAGTGACTTAAGTGTCTAGAGAGCCACAAACACACAGGCTGGCCCTGCTTAGCTCCCTACTTTGTTTCTTAGAGCGCTTGGAATATTTCGTTTCTATCCTTGTGTTCTTGCTTAGTGTGTCCCACTAAGCTGGGATTTGCCTTGGATGAGAGACTGTGTGTCCGTTCCGATTACTCATGGCCGCTCTTTGGGATTTCCCATGCTGTAATATAAAATCCAAATACGCGTGCGCTATGTCTGTGCACCGTTGTGAACCCCTAGCCAGGCAACACATACTTAGGAGATAATAATAGCATAAAAATTAGGTAAATATTTAAAGCTAACAGCAGCTTTATAGACATATTACATAACCTATTTTCCTAAATGAGTAAAAGGGATCAAACACACAAGCAAATTTCTAAAGAGTTTAGACGGTAACAACTAAAACCAGACCCAAGGAACGTACTCATATTTCCTTTCCTTAGTGAACATGGGATCATAAATTCAAGATAGTCAGCAGAAGTCAGAACCTCATCACTTGGTTTCTAATTAGATCCGAGAACAGTGGGATTCGACTGCACACAGATAGACAACAATCAGAGCTGAACATTTTTCTGCTGAGCTTTCTCATCTGCAAAGCTAAACAGCAAATCTCAAGGCTCGGTGTGACATTCAACACCAAGGAGGGTAATTTCATCGAAGACTCCAGTCTTTGCGTGCCACATATTGTGTTCTGGCCCACCCTTTGACACCTGACTCAAGACAAGTGACTTCCTGTGGCCAATGGCATCTTGGCTAGGTTTCTATTGCTTTGATAAAACATGTGACCAAAAGCGAGTCCAGGACAGCCAAGGCTATGCAGAGAAACCCTGCCTTGAAAAACAACAATAAACAACAACAAATTTCATCTTTCTATCATGTGTTGAGTTGAAATAAAAACTGGCCAGCACAAATGGGATGTTAATAATGTTAATAATCTCTACGCAGAGATTGGAATAGTATCTGTAAGCTGGGACTTGATCCCCTCCTGTTCATCAGGCCAAACCTGCGGGGTGGTGGGGAAGATACAGGGAGCATGAATATAACCCCTCATTCTAGTTCAGCCTGAGCCTGGTCAACCATCTGCTTGCCACTCTGCTCAGGGGTATCAGCAAGCGCCACGGAGATCAGCAGAATTTTCTCACTGGTGTACAGGTGCACGCACCACTGAATTTTAGAAGGGTTTAGTTTATAGCTTTGTAGTTGTAATAGCTAAGTAATACAATATTCTCATAGCGCAATAAAAATTAATTACCAGCAAAACAAATGTTTAAGATGTTAGCATGACTCTTAGAATATAGGGCAATTTTTAGTTCCATGGTTTGGCTTCTGTACAAACACACACCCTCACCCCAAACACATCCCCATCACTGGGGATTGAGCAGGTTTTGGTAGGATGCGCTTAGAGGAGAGATTTGAAGAAGTACAGTGTGGCCAGTGGCAAGACTGTGTCACCTTCCTAGCACTGTTGGTGGGCCAGTAATTCTCAGCAGGGAGTGAGGGCATGGCTTCCAAGGTCTCCTCATAGGTGGGCTAGATCAGAGCTTCAGGCAGTACAAACCCATAGGTACCATTGTCCCTTAGCTCAAATGTGTGGGATAAGGGAATCCCAATGTGTCTCCAGACCAGTCTTTTGAGGATCCTGACATAGCATCTGTAAATGAAAACAGGAAGCTAAATATAGAAATCAGATTTTGAAAGGAAGGATTCCATTACTGTGCAGTAGGGGATGGAGGTAGAGGGGGGAAAAAGGCTTCTCAGGAAAATGAAGGAGCCATTCCTGATGAGGATCCATCTGATCTTGGTAAACAGCCCCTACAGAGCCTGTGTTTTATTTGGCCCTTGCTCTTCCTTGTGCCTGGAACACAGCAGAGACTTGGTTAAAGTTGCTCAGTTGATTAAAAAAAAAAAAAAAAAAAAAAGGCAGCATCAAATTTGCAATGTCAGAATGAATAGACTAATCTCCACAAAGAAATTAAACAGACAAACAGACAAATGAATCACGAGAAAAATATGAGGCAAATATTAGCTAGGCGGGCCCCAGGAGCTAAGGGTGGCAATGGAGGGGCTGGGGAGCTGGGGAGGGACCATGCTCAGACGTGGAGAAGCATTATAAGGTCCTTCAGCTGAACTCTTGTCTTTTGACTATTTCCCCAGTCTTGCCCTGATTGGCTTTCCTGGTAGGTGGACACTCTGGGACTGTAACCAACTGACTGAGGCTTAAAGGACAATACCCTTCCTGTTGACTCCTGTGCCTTCTGACTTGCCAGCTCTTTTAAACTCAACCCAGGGAAAATTCTGGTTTGAGCCAGTGTATCATTGTTTTTTCCTTTGCACTCATGCCTTCTCCCCAGAGAGTACAATACTGAATCATACAGACTTCCTTTTATCCTTGGTCATTTTGATTCATACAGCTCTCTGCGGGTCCCAAGAACTCCTGCTCTTCAGCCCATCTCACCATCTAAACTTCATTGATTTCTTCTGTGCCTCAGATACCATTAAAGAAGCAAAGAGAAAAAAAAAGTATTCTTACATAAAATATCTGCACTTGATCCAACTCTATAATTGGTTCCATGCTTTGCTTTCAATGCATTTGCCGCCTTCTGTCCAACTTGAATCTGTAGGTGGGAAATGTTGAGAGAGCTGGTGTTAAAAATAAATCCAACAATCCAAGGGTTTTATATTTTGTACGGCTCTATCCCCGAGGTTTCAGACTGTCTCTCTAACCTCCCATTGGGCATTTATGTCTAGATCCCCTGTTGTAACCAGACCCACATTTCTTTTCATTATATCTTCCAACAATGAAACTGTTCTGAGTTTCCTGTTCCTGTTCTTCCGTACTACTACAACACATGTAGAATTCTGTAGATTTCTTTAGCTTCTTTTTCTCCTCAAAGTCACCAATGTGAATTTCTGTTGCTATTACTCCATGTCAAACCCATTACCCCAGACTTGGTCTGTTGCATCCTCTAACACATTTCTCTTCCTCCCATCAATCTTTATCCCATCCTGGTTCATCCCACATGGCTTCCAGATGCACATATCTACGTCCATGACCCTGCTGAAAAGCTTTCAGTAACTCCTCCTTGCCCAGGGAATTAAACACAGACTGCCTAGTTTAGATTGTGAGATCCTCTGCAACGTGTTTCTAACCCACCTTTCCAATGTTGTATCCTATGCATTTACCCTACCTCATAGTCAAACTCCTGCTTCCTCACTGCTCCTCACCGCTCCTTAGCTTCTCCCTGTTCTCTCAGGATGGCCCCTCTCCCTAGAATCTCTACCTATCGGAATTTACTCAACTTCAAGGGACTTTCTTGAATGTCAGCTTCTCAGTAGGTTCCCGATCTCCCCAACTGGATTCTCTCTCTTCCTGCTTTTTCGCTTTCACATGTCTTTGTTCATAGTCTCTTACAGGTTCACCCCCTTTGTTTTGTTTTTTTTCTTCTCACAGTTATTTGATGTATCCCTTGATACTCCCTGTCTCCTGATTCTAGAGAAAATCTTTCAGAACTATATGATCTGTTGAGGCTCAGCCTTCCTTTCGGCAGAGTCTCTCCAGGACTTCTGCGGAGTCCCGTACTTACTGACCTCCTGATAAATCTTTTCAAATAGGTCTGTTGACAGACCCTCTGATTCCAGACATTCTGATTCCAGACATTTCAACACGACCATCTATCATTGAAATGTTACATCACAAAGCTTCTGCTTAGATTCTCCACAGACACCACTAAAACCCCTTGTCAGTCCTGCCAGCACTGTGATGTTCAGTTGTGTTGGTCACACTGCACTTAGAGGCGTATCAGATTCCCTGAGTCTCTCAGCTGGTAATGACCCAGTTTTAGATCCACCCCCCTTTTTTTTTCTCTTCCTTACTCCACAGATGGGTGCTAAGATGTGACAGAATGGTGCTCGGGTAAAGGTGGGAGCAGCCCAGAGAAATTCCAAGGGAAAAATTAAGCAGGCAGCAAGTGGTGCAAGGGAAGTAGGAGCAGCATCCTTTAGGTACTTGGGACTTTCTGTTCGTACCACACACACACACACACACACACACTTGAACACGCTTGCAAACTTCTTGCCTCTTCTCCTCTCGGTGCTGAGAATTCTATCCCTGCTCACTCACCTATTCGTTCTCTTTTCATCCAAAACAATTCTGAGTCTGTCTCAGTTCCTGGGAGTTAGGTTGCCCAGAACAGAGAAAAGGGGGCAGAAAAAGCTGAGGAAATGCAAGGAATCAAGCAGTTGCATCGTTCATACTGGAAGGAGGACATTGTTAGGGAAAGGGAGAGTCGGGAAGGAGGAAAGTTCTGGTAAGAAAATGAGAGCGGGCCTGGGAAAGGCTCAGGGAACTGTTTTGTGTCATCAGTGGAACTGAGAGCATTTCCAGGACCAGTGATTCACTATGCTCACGTGTGGAAGTCTTCTAGCAAAGAAATAAAGTGTTTCTAAACATTTTCAATTCACACGTGCCCCTGTGCGTCTCTGGGTGAAATCCATGCCGACTGGTCTGAGAAGCTCCTGTCTCCATCTGCGTCACACGAATCAGTCCTAGACCACATTTTTTCATCCAAATTGTTCCTTAATTTTATGTTATTATTATTTTTTTTTATTTCTGAAGCTCACCTCAAACAACTAATTCATGGCCAACCTTTACTTATTTTATTCTCTGTAGTTTATTTTCCTCAAATCTTAGTGGTGGGAGAGCAGACTCTCTATCCCTTCTTTGTTGACAAAATAGCCTTGGGATTTTTTCACTATTAATTACTAAAAGGAAGTAGAAAAAACAGAAATGTTATTCTCAGCCTATAGATAGATTTGGTCCTTTCTGAGAAAATGGAATAGAAATTCCATAGATTTCTTTTTGCTGTCTTGTTTAATTTTTTTAAAAAACTCTTTTTTTTTTTTTTTGAGTCAGGGTCTTACTGTATAGCTCTGGTTGGCCTGAAACTTTCTTTGTGAACCAAGCTAGCCTTGAACTCACAGAGATCCACCTGCCTCTGCCTCCCCACAGGAAGAGCCCTCCTTAGAGTCACTTCCTCTGAGGGCAGAACTCCTGAGTAGACTTTGCTCCTGAACTATACTGCGGGGCTGTATAGAGTTGTTATATCTGTGTCCATCTTCTCTACTTAAAGGTGCTTCCTAGTGAAAATGATAAAAACCTCCTTTCCAGGGGATCATGAGATATTGATAAAGCCCTCTAGCCTGCTTGGCAGCTCCTTCACCGGCCTGTAAGAACATGTTTACAGGTGGACATGCAGAAACTTTGGTTAAAGGTTCTGACATGAGTAAGAAGAAATGGCTTTTTACACATGAGCTGGGGGACAGAGACTGATAGGAAAAGAGTTCAAATGTGAAAAGTTCCAGTATGTAAGGCATTAAAGTGCTGATAGGTGTTCTAATTTCAAGAGCAGCTTAGAAAGTGGACACACACACACACACATATATGTATGTATATGTATATGTGTATATGTATGGAAAATATATGTTTATTATAACACACATACACATATATATTCCTGTTTCTTAAGTTATCCCTCATGCAGTATATTGACCATGGCTCCAAAAAAAACTTTGTAAATATAGGACTGCTGTAAATAGTTCTAGAAATGGAAATCTCCTTGGAACAAGGGGCTGGGTTCAGTACAATTATGCACAGTACTATAGCTTCTCCCCAGGAAGCCCAAAACACTGTGAAGTTTCAAGTGCAAAACTTTTATGCTTTATGCTTGCTGTCAAAGTCTGAGGATGAGTGCTTGTGTTTCCTCTTCAGCACCCAAGACTGCAAAAGACACAGAAAATTTACTGGTTCCTCGGCATGGAACCAATGATTTACCAATATCTTTCAGGAACTCCTATACTCCTAATCCTGTGGCCAGAGGGCTCGAACAAGAAAGGTAATCGTTAACAAGAAACCCTCTGACATTTGAATACAGATCACATAATATCTCTCTCTTCCTGAACCAGAAGGAATGACATTCCCATGAAAAAAAAAATATTGAGGTATTATATTGAAAGATGATACCTTCTGATGAAGACCTTTCAGTTGGTGGAAGACACCTTTCCATTGAAGACCTACAATGTCCCTGGAGTTTCATCTGGCTTGGTTAACAGTTCCCTCAAAGAAAAAAAGAAATCTGTAGCGACTATCACAAACTGGGAAATGAGCCTAGTTCTGGGCTTCATAACTAAAACCTGTATTTCTACAAGTTAAATGAAAAAGTGCCAAGGATTATAAGTGACAGTGAAATAGAGCATGGTTGACTGGAGATCTAAATTGATTAATGGTTTCAAAAAGTCAGAACCTTTTCTAAACAGAGTGGCTTTGTGCAGATGATACAAGTGCTTTGATGATGCAGAGGACAAATCCAGACTGGTTGATCACCATGCTCTCCCTGTAGGGATTCTGGGAATGTAGCTAGCGCTAGTTCTCTTTAAGTATTTCCCCAAATGAGTTTATTATGTTACCACAAGAGTCGAGATGAGGAGATAATGGCTTTAAGTTGTAATAACCCAAGCAAATTTTAGTTACTTCTACGTATTGAAAAATGATCATATAGTGTAAATTTTCATAGCTGTGACAGGAAAAAGTGGCCTCAAGAAAGATATCTGGATGTTGTGGGATACTTTTGTCTTCTGGGGAAGGCTCCCTTCAGCAAAATATCTTTAGTGGATTATTTTTTAGCTTCTGCTTGCGCTTAATGGGTCATGCTCTACTGGAAAAAAGACAGGAGGCATAAATAGCCAAGAGGTCACCTCGCCTCTGCGATATCAAGAACATGGTAAGACTCATTCTCATCTACCCTATCATCTGCACCCAAGAGGGAGCTGCTTTTCAAAACCAAAAGTTTTTTTTTTTTTTTTTGGTTGTTGTTGTTGTTGTTTTTAATAATAACAAGCATTGGCAAGACTGTGGGGGGAGTGTGAGCTTGTGCACTACAGGTAGATATTTTAAATAGTTTAACCAAAATGGAAAGCAGTAGATCAAATTAAAAAAGAAGTAGAATTAACCCACAGGCCAGAAACTATGCTTCCAGATATGTCAAAAAGAAGTAAAGTGGAGACTTGGAGAGACGTATGCACAGCCATGTTCTTTGCTGCGTTCCTAACAATTCATGAAAGGTAGAATAAACCCAAATGTCCACTGATGGGGTAGATAAACAAAACATGGTGTATACGCACAGTGGAATATCACTTGCTCTTAAAAAAATGGAAGGAAATATTGATCTGGAGAGACGGTTTGGTCATTTAAGGCCAAGGCTCACAACCAAAAGGATAAGAAAAGAAACTGTCATATTCTACAAGAGATGCTCTGAGGGTATTATGCTAAGTTGAGGAAGCCAAGCATAAAATGACAAACCCGTTATTACTCCATTGATGTGAGGTATCTATAGTACCCATAGGTGCGGAAAGAAAACTAATGTTTGTCACAGCTGGGCATAGAGAAAATGCAGAGTATCATGTGATGAATACCAGGTACACACAGTGAGTCCATTGTGGATTTTGGTTCACAACCCTGAATATTCTAAACTATAAACCTAAAAACAGTTGTCATTATATGCTTATGCTAAGTGTATTTTACCACAATTAAAGTGGAAAAAAAAAACCCTCAGCTATGACTGTTACAACAATTCTGCTCACCCTTTGATTTGTGACTAGCATTCATGGATTCACAAAAGGGCAAAGAGCCCAGTTCTTTCCAGCAAGTCTGCCCACCAGAGCCTGGACAAGCACAACTTCAGAGAAGGACCTAAAAAAAAAAAAAAAAAAAAAAAAAAACAAGCACAAGCTCCCTGCCCTGGCTTGTATTTCCCTGGCACTTCCTCTTACAAATATTACTGGGCAAATGCTTCAAGAAGAGTCTAGAAGAAAAACAGGGCACTGTGCTTAGCAGCAAAGAGAGCAGATATTATTTAGCCGTGTTATTTTAGACGTGCCATATTCCACTAACAGCTGGCATGTTTTTTAAGCACAGTTCAAAAGCTGTAATCTCTGGATGGAGCTTCGAGAGAACATACAGAAAGGAGAGCACGTTCCCGCAGACTATTAACATAATCGTCTCATTTATGTTATAGCCGAACACCTAAGATGGCTCCCAACTTGACACTTCATGAAACAGGTAGTTAATTAACGTAGGTAAAGAAGCATTTAACCAGAGTGTTCCTGGCAGGCATCTGGCAAGGTACAAAAAGCAGGAAAAAGAAAATAAGGGTGGTAGGGATGGGGTAGGATGGGGGATGGGTGCAGAATAGAGCCAGAATCTCTTGGAAATGAAAATCAGAGAAAGGCAACGGCCCTATGGAGGTTTGTCCAGAGGCCTTGGCACTGTGGGATCACTAATTCTTTGTAGTTACTTGGTTTATTTTTGGTGAAGCCAAATGGTATGAGCATGAGCTGCCCATAAGAATACACGGTCAGGAAGCATGGGGCATCTCTCTTTCTTTCTTTCTTTCTTTCTTTCTTTCTTTCTTTCTTTCTTTCTTTCTTTCTTTCTTTCTTTCT